CTGTCATTATTGTACCATGAACATGGTTTCTGCCACTGAAGGATGATGCATTATTGTAATTCTGTTTATTGTAAGAAGCAGAGCTTAAAATAGAATGGTATGTAAGAATGTATCCTTTCTAAACATGAAAGTTTCTTTGTGTCATAATGAAATATAGGGCTTTAAAAATTTTTATTATTAATGTCTCTCATATATTTAGTTCTTTTTATTAAAGTGGCCAACCTTATGGCACTTGTTTTGTAAAAACCTTTTTTCTCTCCTACTTTCCCTTGTTTGCTGCTGTTTTCCATTTTGTCTCATTTTCTGGTCAGTTATAATTTTCATTCTGATGCCTTCATTTTTAAATTTTTTTTTAACATACAGTTTTTATCTTCTTTCTATACTAACTCTCTGGAATACTAAACCTAAGAGATGAGTGTTAAGAACTGAGTGATCACCCTTGGCATACTTAATTGCAGACAAGTTGTTTGAACTTGTAACACTTGGAGAATGGAAGTGAATATATTTGTTTTGCTATTCCCATGGAAACGAGATATTTATAATGAGCTTCTAAAAACAAGTTACAAATATACACAAAGAACCTGATTCTTTGTAGCAGTTGCTTAATAGAAAGGAATTAGTTTATTTGGAGGGGTTATGGGTTGGGGTTTCTTTCTTAAGTTCATGAGGTCTGAAGAGCTAGTACAAGCAAGGGATTTCCTGAATGTGAACAGTGCATTAAAAATGGTGAAAATAAACTGGGGGTATAACAGCCTTGTGTGTTATGTTGTGTTCAGAGTATTATAATTTTTCATACAGTTTGAGTTGGAGGGAGCTTTTTACATGTCATCTAGGTATACACCACCACCTCGCCCTTCCCTCCAGAGACACATTGCATGAGATCAGGTTGCTCATAGCCCCATCCAACCTGACCAGGGATGGACCATCTACCATTTCTCTGGACAACCTCTTGCAGTGTTTCAACACCCTCCTAAAAATGTCTTCCTTATACCTAGTCTGAATCCACCCTATTTTAGTTTTCAACTGTTACCTTGTCCTATCACAACAGCTGTGCTAAAAGCCTGCCCTCATCCTTCCTTGTAACTCCCCTAAAAGCTGCAGTAAGGTCTCCTGGAGCCATGTCTCCACCAGACTGAACAACCCCAACTCTCCCAACTTTTCTTCATGGCAGAGGTGTTCCTTCTCTCTGATGAACTCTGTGGCCCTCCTCTGGATTCACTGCAACAGGTCGATGTCTTTTCCTGTGCTGGGGACCCCAGAGCTGGATGCAGTGCTCTACGTGGGCTCCCACCAGAGCATTGTAGAGGGGCAGAATCCCCTCCCTCACCCAGCTCCCGCACTGCTTTTGGTGCAGCCTGGGATACGGTTGTATCTTTCTGGGCTGGGAGAGCACGTTGCTGGCTTATGTCCAATTTTCCATCTAATAGTACTAGCAAGTCATTATCCTTAGGGTGTTTTTGTGGACCTGGATTGGAGAGAGTATAAATCAGGGTTTGTTGAAAGACTTTTCTTCTGTCATTTCTACCTACTCAGTCAGTGGTCTCCTATACATTCAACCCATGACTGTACAGACGGAGGAGAGGGGAGCATGCTGTTCTAGTTAGTAATCATGATGACAGAAACTGCTCAGAGCTCTTTGAGACCTGTCTCTGGAGACAGGAAGGGTGTAGGATTGCTGCTTGGTAATGTAGATGCTGGTACATGGCATACATGTACCATACCTCACATACCAAAAGTGCAAGAACATGTCGTGTTCCTAGGATTTTCCACAAGACTTGACATATTTTGCAGCTGTAGAGTTTTGGAGTTAATTAGGATGCTTTACAAGTGGATTTGATAATATTGTAATAGATGGGGAAGCGAGAGAGGATATTTTTGGAGTGTAGAAAAAGACAACAAACTTCAAAATTAAAGCTGGTTTATTTAGGAAACTTGGGATATAGTTGCAAAAATTCCTTCACTTCCAAGCCCATTTTTAACATCACTCCAATTAATGTTGTTTGCTGATAAAGAATATCAGCTACAATGCGCATTTGTTCCTCTTTTGGGGTCCAGCTGCAATACTACGTTGGTCATATATGTGTCTAATTTGTGGTTATACCTTAAGCTGAAGGGGAAATATCCACTCACTTCCTTGCCCCATGTAAGTGACAGGCAAAAGACCAAATGTGAGAGCTAGCTATACCTCAGACCAAGTGTTCTTTGTTCCTCTTGGGAGCCATATTTATGTATTTTTCCTTTTAATTGAGACACAAAAAAGTTATGTTCTTCTATTTAATAAGAGTGCAACTTAACAAAATTCTTCATGTGTTAATAAAACCTTGAGATCAGTTCATTTAGAGCACAGTGCTAATAGCGATAAAATAATGGGTTTGATCATTTAAGAGCTGAACTCAATGATCCTTGTGGGTCCCTTCCAGCTCAGAATATTCTGTGAAAAATAAATGAGTCAACATGAATTTCTGCTGGTTTTGCTGAAAGTGATCATTCTCTTTCCCATTGTGATGATCCTGACTGATGATCCAAGCTAAACCTATATGCTGCAGAAAACTGCCTTTGGCAAGGCCTGCATGCTAGACTTGGCCTGTAGAGAATTTAGGGCCTTAGGGTGTTGTTATGCTGAAGCCTTGCAGTGATTGCCAGTGCTTTCTTTTTCTAAATGAGAGGCAAAACAAAATGAAGTCTTTGACCTCTTGAGCTACTTAAAAGTTCTTGGACATGTTTCATCAGAAGAGGGATGTTAATCCTTTTAATGAGAATCCTGGAGAAATTCCAGGTAGTTAATTGCAATTTATTCCACCTGTCTTTCTGATTAATGAAATGCTGGATTATATTCTTTATTTCTACTGTCATGATGTTCTTTTACCAGATAATTCTGTGAGATACTCCAGCATATGCTTTACCCAAAGCAGACAAGTAGTCTGCAAACAGCAAGGTTTGGTCAAAAAACAAAAAGTTTATTTTGTGGGGTTGCTAATGTTTGCTACATTTGTTGGACTGCATTGAAAATAAAGAATGCTATGAGCAAATAAAGAATGTAATGAGCAATTATGTAACAGGTTCCCTTAGTGTTGAATTTTGTTGTGAATAACCAATTTCTCTTTGTTTTAAAAGCCTGGGATAAAATTTCATTTTTGTTTAGTTAATTGAAATAGGTTTCACTTTCTGACTGTTGGTTGCTAAACCAGAAATCTCACTTCCCCTTTTCATTAGTGGAGGCATCCTCCAGCTGAGAGGAATTTGACCTCTGAAGGTGTCCAAGAAAAGATCAAAGATAAATCCATGACATACAGCTGAATTGCTCTTCACAATAGTCTTTTTGACATTTGAAATAAAATTAGATTTCTATATACTGTTTTTCTAGCCCAAGATTTCTGTTGCCAGTACACACTTTGTCTATCCTAGCATCTATTGTTCCTTCCTCCTATATAAACAGCTGTCTCTGTTGAAAGGACTGGTCTGGGTTGTGTGTTGTTGGTGCTTGGTTATTTTTTTTCCCTTGATTTGCTTGAAATGTTCTCTAAATTGGCATAAAAAGAAATGCTCAAGCAGCAAACAAAACTTCTATAGTAGCATGTTTCCAGCAACATGGACTCTCAAATATTACTTTAACTTTGAGACTTCTACTTTTTTTTTTACTTTCACTTTTTTGTAATGTTGTAAACATTATCTGCTTTTGAAGATGGTACTGTTTAAGATTATATCAGCATAAGTATCAAAACATCTTTTTGAAAATTATTCTATTTGATATGTTAAATTTTAGTTCAAAATCTGTGGCTAAATTTGGGGGTGTAAATTCTTATTGAAAATATCACAGGATCTGTAATTTACTACTACAGGAACAGATGTGGTTTGTGTCTGCTGTAATTCATATCAACTAAAAATAGATGGTTTTGGTTTAATGGTGAGTAAACTCAGTAATGCTGTTGTTTCATACCTGAAATTTAAAATGAGGAGCACTAAAACTAGGTTAATACTAGAGAATTGAGTGGAACAGTGCATACTATACAATGTTATCTCCTACCTAAATTGAATATTTTAAAATGCTAGAAAACAGACATGCATTAACCTCCTTTTGGTTAAATACATCACTGTAGTAAATGCTTTGTAAGAGTTCTATCAACTGCAACCTTTGGTGTGATGGACCAAAAAAGGTCTGCAGGAATGACAGTGTAAACTGGTGTTTGTAAAGTGTGAATTTCGCATTCATCAGAATTTGCACCACACACTTGTACAGCAAAATCCTCTCCATTAAAAGTAAATATAAGTAAGTGATTTACTAATATGAAAATATGGTCTTCCTGTTAGTGAAAACTACAGAAAGTATTCAGCTCCAAATTTCTGGGAGGTTTATGAGTTTACCAGACTACTATATTGTGTTTTTTCTGTACCTCTAAATATTTTTTGAAGATGATGGTCTACGAAGGAAAACCGGTATTGAATTTAAATGTGTCATTTAAAAACTTGTCAGTCTTCAATTGAGGAGGAATTTCAAGTTTTTAAATGTTTTTCAATAGTGCTTTACGCAATAGCAGAATAATTCTTAATTTATTTGTGAATACATGAATAGTGACTTATAAATAAAATGATGACCAGTTATTCAAAGAGGAATAAAAAATATTAAATAAAAGTACGCACCTAAGATGCTTCAGTTCTTGTCTTGTACATGCTGGCTTTATGAGTGATCAACCAAATGAGACTGTATTTAATTTGATGAGCTGCAGGCATTTTGACAGTAGACCCAGTCCCTTTATTTCCTCTTTATTTCTGAACATTCATCAAGGGAAGTCTATAAAGTGCTATCCTACTCATGTACATATAAAAATAAGATGGTATTGCTGGGTTATCTTTTATTTGATGCTATAAATGGATTGCATGTGCCTTCCTGTTCTGTTGCAATTTTCTGTTGTTCACTGTGGTAAACTGAAACCATTCTGCTATTCTTGAAATGCTTTTTGTGCTCTCTTGTAATTTCTTTCAATTGCTATGTGTTTCAACAGGGGAAAGTCTGTAAGAACTATTACTTTTGAGCAGTTTAAGGAAGCTCTTCAAGAACTCTCCAAGAAGCGATTTAAAGGCAAAAGTGATGAGGAAGCACTTCGAGAAATGTATAAACTAATTGAAGGAAAAGGCCCAGATTTAACTGGAGTAACGGTATGTTACTGATCTAATGGACAGATTGTTTCTACCTGTCCTTTGTTCTTCTGCAGTGTTATGTTCACCACTTCCCTCTACAAGCCACAATTCCAATTTCTCTGTGAGCCCGAAGGCAGCAATTGCTAAGCAGAATGGGAGCAGAGATTATGCAACAACTGAGTATTGCACTGCTGTCTGTTCTTGTTGCACTGTTGTCTGTCTTGCTCCTTCTAGGAATTGTACTACCACATAGTAGCACCTCAGAAATATCCTGAGCTCTTGTGTATGCTTAGAACAAGGAAGTGTTCATGAAGAGTGGTGTATCCAAATCAAATCAATAGAATCAAATCAGGAGAATGGCATTAGAGCCTCAATAAAAAGTTGTGTCTTGTGAAATACCAAAAAGCAAAGGCATATTGAAATACATTTAATTGCACCATGTGAATCCCAGAATACTGGAAATCTGGGAATGATTATCATGTGGTCTGGTCTTTGTTTCTTGTTAGTTCCAAGCCTGACAGTGCTGTAACGTTCTTTGTTTTTAATTTTAAAATACTGGTATTAAGCTTTGTATGTGAAAAGGAAGCTATAAAGCAGTATATATATATATCCACTATATAATATATGTATATATTATAAGGTACATAATCTTGGTTGTCCTTCTAGATGTCCAGGATAGGCAAGTTTTTATCCAGTATTTTAGGAGATACTGTAGTGTTTACCATCAGCTTGAATAGTTCTGTTGGTTTAGTTCATCTGCTTAAAATTTGTGATCCTCTTGAATTTTGCCTATAAACCTGTGAATGAAAATATAATCGTTTCAGAAACTGGTTCTCTACAAATGGTCAGTGTAAATATCAAGTGGAAAGATCTCTTTTGAGTTGTAAAATAAGTCAGCTTTTTGCAATATTTTATTACTCTTCTACTCTCATTTATTGAACCTTTTTTTTTGTTCTTCACTTACCTGAGTAAATTTGAGTAACTTCTTCATCTGTTCAGGGATTCTTACATAGAATTTTGTACATTCTTCTAGGCCTCACTCCTGATTCCATTTTTGGTATTTCAGCAGGCAGACACTGAAATTATCAGTGTCTGCTACTAATGAAATGGTCTCTGTGTGGGGGACATGGATGAGACTTCCTGGAGAGTAAAATAAAGACCCGCAAACTTGGCAATTAAAGACAAATAAATAAATGAGTACATGGCAACTCTCCTCCTGCAACCCAGGAGTGCAGATATGAAATCTCTATACAAACTTTTAATTCTTTGTTTACTTTGTGAAGTCAATATTGTGGAAATTTTAAGTTGTGCTGCTTTTTGAATAGTTAGATAAAGCTACATTAAGCTTTTCTTAAAAATTCTAGGGTAAGTCAGTCATGCCATGTAGTGTGTTCCCTGCTCTGTAAAACTCTGCTATAGGTCATGTAGATTTGGTTCTGGTTTCAGACAGAAAACTTTGTGACTACTGACACATTGCTCTAAACATACTAGGGAAGGAGCTGAAAGCATGATTAAGTGAAGCTTGTGGATAAGAATACTTCAGTAGCCTGTGGGGAATTTTGTATCTTAGCTTCTTGTGTTCTGTACTGGGTATTTCGGGGAGTAGGTGGCAGGGGCAGTATGTCTGGAGTAAATGGCAGCCTGGGGAAAAGCGCTCCTTCAGCAGGACAGTTGGAAAGTTTACCTTCACATCAGACAATGAAGATTTTAGAGCATATTGTGATAGAAGTGATGGAAGGTTTTTTATCTTTTTCTGTTTTTTTTTTTCTTCTCTTTTTTTATCTTCTGTTGCAGAATTACAAAACTCCCTGCTTGTCGTTGAGAAGGCTCAGTAGCCAGATATTGAAACCAAGTGAATTTTAGGCTGCTTTCTAATCTTGGAACAAAACATGTATGATTGACTTTGTCATACAGGAAGAAAGGAATAAGGGTTAATGAAGCCAGTGGCTTTATTAGCTTGCTTGGTTGTGATCTGTCAGTAGGATATGCAGTGCAGGTCAGTGGACAGCTTGCAAACAGACGTGTAAATGAAGTCTAGGGCCTTTTAACAGTCCTCATTCCTACACAAAGGTTACAAAGAGCAAAACTGAGGTTCTTTCTTTCCCTGTTCCAAGAGAGTACCATAACAATGCTGAATGCATTTCAACACCTTCTGGAGAACAGATCCATGCTTTGGTCATTGTTTGCTGTTAAAATAAAGCCAGTTGAACTTCAGTGTATATTCATCAGGGTCCTTGACAGAGAAATGCAGAGCAATTTCAAGTGTAAGGAATCTGAGATGATCTCATTCACACCTTCTGTTCACCAGAGGGCTAATTTAAAGCCAGATCAGGTTGTTCAGAGCTCAGTCCAGTCAGATTCACGGTGAGAGGAGTATGAGTGGCAGGGCAGTACAGCAGCAACAGCACTTTAAAAGCTGGGTGATGGGTGTTCAGGGAGATGCTGATGTGGGCAAGATAATATTCTCACCAAAATGTACCTGTTAGGGCAAGAGGAAGGAAGCCAGAGCGCAGCCCACAGAGTGTGGTAAACGAGACATAACAGTTGTTGCAGCAGAAGTGCAAAGAGGTCTAGGAATTCCACTTAAGACTATGAGTCTCTGCTTGAATGCTACAAATTGGTAGTCTGGAAAAGCTGGAGGACATACTGTCCAGCACATGGACATCCATTAAGATGTGGAAGAAGTCTGCAGAACTGCCATTAGCACATCAGAGTCCTTGGCTCTGTTAGGAAGAAGTCCTAATAGAGTATCCATGTTGCATGCTTCAGAGAGCTCCTGTGTCTTCTCAATGTCAGGGTGGCGGTGGGCACTCTTGTGGGACTTGTGCTGTGGTCAAGGTCCTGAGATTTCAGCTGGTCGGAGGAGAAGATGAAGAGGAGATTGATGTGATATTTGTGGAAAACCCAAGCTACACAAGGTGAGAAAGGAGTGACAGCTGGAAACCACATGGACAAAGACTACTGAGATAGAAAAGGCTGAAGGCTTGTGGCTTCTGGCACCAAAAAGTCACAGCTATGCTCCACTTGCAGTTCTTCAGTTTCAGAATACATACAGTATCCTGAGCACTGGTGAAGATCAGCAAGACCCATGAGAGACAGCTGAGCCTGAAATTAGTGTTCACACAAAAGTGGGAAAATGGGTAATAGTGTTGACCAGAATTATCTCACACTGTGGGGACAGACAGGTTCTTTTAAGGATCCTCGGTTGAATGAGAACTGGCCATGGATTTGTAGTTATATCAGGCCATAGCATGAGCTGTGTATTAGTGAAAATCTGGCAAGGAGTGAACAGTCACAGTTTTTTCCATCCCAAATATCTCGTGTGCTGTTACACTTCCCTGTTCTGTAATGGGTGACACTGTACTCTGGCAGCAGTGCTGTACCATGAGTCAGGAGTAATGGGTACCAGTCACAGAAAATTCACTGAAGATTCTTCTTGTGGATGATCAAGGCATGTATTTTCTGATCTCATCTGATATCTCAGGAGTTTTATTGCTTGGTAGGTACCAGGATATGGGATTATTGCAGATGCATGGCCAAGATTTTTCCAGCCTCCTAACATGGACCTCTTCTTCCTCTTCCTTGTGGGTACCCAGAGTACTGCTCTGGAGGTAACCTGGAGCATATAAAGAGGAACTACAGAAGTCTAGGGGTGAGGATGATGGGTATGAAGCCTCAGATCTTGTCTTGCCAGTCCCAGGAGGAGGAAAGATTGGGCAGAAGTGGATTGTATGGCTTCTGTTGAAGATGGGGCTTTGGCTTCTAGGACCAGAGAAATGAGGGCTACTCAGCAGGGATGAAGTAAATCTAACAAAGTGGAACAAGAGTATCTTTACAAACTAGGCTTATTGATCTGCTGAGGAGACTATTAGACTGGGTATGAAACCTGAACATGAAAGCTCATAAGGGGCAGAGCAGGTATGTCTAGGTGACAAGCCTGACAAGGGAGGTTCTTGCCCATCAGTAAATGCAGCAGGACATGGGGTCTGTCTTTAACACCTGCAAAAGCATATAGTATGGGGAAAGCAGGGCAAATTCGTTGCAGAGATGTGATTCACTGGGATTGTGCAGGTGTGTTAACACAGCTCTTCTGACTGGAGTGCTGCACTGGATGAATAGAGGATCTTCAGGAAATTAATGAAAAAAATGAGAAAGAGGGATTATTGTAGTCTATGTAAAGGCTTATGTTGACAGCATCTAGCTTTGGAACAAGTCTCATTAAACTCATTAAAGACTGGGGGTAAGATTAAATTGAAGATGGATTCATCAACACCCTTATTTAAAAAAGAAAAAAAAAGACTCTGTAATATATTTCCCTTTCTATTTTGTCTTTGCCACCAACAAGAATGAAAAACTCCTCCTCAGAGAAGTGCTGGCACACTGTTTTTGTGAAAGGTCATATTAATCAGGCTGCTAGATCCCATGAGTTGGGATCATGTAGTGACTTGGACTGTTGAAATGGTGGAGAACTGGAGTTAAGGGGCTAATCTTACAGAGGAAAGGAAAGGGGCTCTTGTAGGTGGCAAGTGGGCAACACCTGATCTGCCCTTATAGCTTGCCATTACATGGTCTTCTCTTGATGGAGCTAGACCTGGGTCAGGCAGATTTGACAGATAAATATGAGTTTGTTGCTGGAAGTCATGTCATATATAAGGCACCTTTTTCATGTCTTTGGCTCTAGCTCTTGCTGGACTCCTAGTCAGTGGGAAGGTTTAGGTACTGTATATAAAACTAGGACTTACAGTGCTTATCACCAGAGCAGCATTACTGGGAACCACTCCATTGAAAGTCCTCACCAGGATTAGATAAAATGGTGTTACTTTCTGGCATTACTAAAGTGGAGTTGCTTATAATTTTCTTTTATGTGGGTGTATCTGTGCATATGTTAAACTGAAGAAACATGAATGAAATCCAAATTTTTTTGATGCTTGATCTCTCTGTCTGACTTTCTGCAGAGTTTTAATGCATGTGCATGTATTCCCATGAATTTAAAAAGAAAGTAAACATAATTTTGGTAGGGAGTTCTGGTACAATCCTCCCCCTCAAAAAGGGCAGACTTTCCCTTTGAAACTTTTTCTTCCATGTTACAGTAATTTTTTGTTTCTCATTTTTACAAAGGTTGTGGATATTACCAGCAGATCAATAATTTTCAAAACCTTGCTGAGCCTATGAATGTTGGTGCTGATTCTGCAGGCTCCCAGAACATTTTAATTGGCTAAAGAAATCTCCATGGCAACTTTTTCTAGGGAGATGTTCTGTTGGATGGTGAAGTTTTATGGTTGAAGGAGCAAATGTAGGAAAGCCCTGAGTTTCAGCGAGGAAAGCTGACTGCAGCTGGCAGTGTAGGCAGGAGTACTGTGGTTAAGGTGTTGTACCCTTGTGGTGAGGAGTAAGAAGAGCAGCTCACCTCGTGCCTGTGCCCATTGTTTTTGGCAGTGCAGGCATTCCCAGCACTGATTGCTGAAAAGCCATTCAGTCCCTCAGGCGGGCAGGGGTTGTTTCTGTATTGTCTGGACATTTGTAATTGAGGAAGGAAGACCAACCAGAAAGCCCTACTGCAGGGTTTTGCATCATTAAGTTTCTGCCTAAGCTGTGCAGCAGCTTGAAACGCAACCGGAATTTTTGTCAGTGATGGCAAGCGGTGGAAAATACCTTGAGGCAAAGTTGTTTGAGTGGAGACAGGAGTTCATTGTGCAAGCCAGGGCACTCGGTGTCTGTTTTGAACATGTGATATTCCTGAAGTCCAGAAGGTTTCCTGGGTGCTCTTCCTGGTTCCCAGGAACTGGTTGTGGAGAACCTTTTGGGACTGATGCTACGCTGTGTGCAGAGCTGCCCAGCACAGAGTTCCCGCAAGCTCGCCAGGGCTGTGGTGCTGCAGAAGTGATGCCTGTGCAGCTGCAAGAGTGTGGTGCTGCAGTGCCCTGCTCGTGGAGCTCTTTGCACTGTGCCAGGTGCAAATCTTTTGTGGCATTTGCTTGGGTTTTGAACCGTGAGCTTTGGAGAAGGGATGGTAACGTGTGCTGACAGAAGATGATGAATGCTACCTTGGCAGCACTGAATCGCCTTTCCTCTTCTTTGCCTCAACTTTGTTGTGGACGGAAAAGACCTGAAAGTGTGGGAAATCTTCCAGTCTCACACTGTTACCTTATTTTCATGATTGTGGCACTAGCTTCATATGGTGCTTCTAGCCTTTTGACACAAAATTTGATTTTATGGGGTCTGCCAAGCCAGTGCAGCTGCAGAGCTTTCAGTGGATATATTTTCCTTCAGCAAACTGCTAGATACTTTTGTGCAAAGATAGACAAAATACATGTTCTTGACTTCTGTGTTTTCATTTCCTTTTTACTGTAGTTCATTTCAGTTTCTAAGGGCTGATAATACATTTCTGTAACTAATTCAAATTCTTGAAAATAGTGAAATTGATTGTGTTGCTTGCTCTGTAAACTGCTCCTAGATTCATTAGTTATCTTCTGGTAGCTGGTAAAATCTGCATAAGTTTGCAGAGCTGTCTTTCTCGAGAAAGGTCTACGGAAGATTTGTTGATCTTTGTTCGTTAAGGTTTCCAGAGTTTAAGACTACAGCTTTCACTTCATCTTTGGTATGAGGGCTGCTTCAGACGGATAGAAATTGGACTATTTTTAAAATGGAATTTGGATAATATGTTGGATTGTTTTGTTTTGTTTACTTGCCTGCAGTGTGGTCAAACACTGGATTAAGTTGCCCATGGAGGTTGTGGAAATTTGGAGGTGTTCAGGACTTGACTGGACAAGTTTCTGTGTAAACTTTTTTGAGCCTTGCTGTGAGCAGGTCTTTATGCTACATAAAGACTCATATTCAAAGGTTTATTCCAACCTAAATTGTTCTGTGACTTAGTAATTTTAAGTTTTGATAATCCTCAGGGACAGAGACTCCCCCATTCTTTCCATGCTTCACCAACCACAGTGGTGAAAAGTTCTCATGTGTCTAGTTGGAATTCCATATCTTTCAAATCATGCCCATTATTGTTTACTTCTGAACTGTCTCTGTAATATAACCACTCTGTTGAGGACAGGAATAAGATTTGTCTCTCCCTTTTTTATTCTGAGTCTTGATAAACACATTCCTGTCATCTTTTCCATGTATGTCACATACTCCAAACCCCTTGCTGTCTTAGCAGCACTTCTTTGTAGACATTAACACAAAGTGAGGAAAAACACTGAATTGCTAAGAAAAAATGCACAAAAAATTAATAAGCTCAATTTGGAACACTAAATAATTATGTTTGATTCTGATGTGCTAAGTAAAACTATTCCTAACAGAAAGTTTTTAAAAGTAACAAAAAATTGAAGTTCACAGGCACCTTCTGTAATATGCAAACTTTGTGGTTAAGTGTATGTGCAAATAAGAGATGGAAAATTAAGGCTTCTATGGTCTCACAGAAAAAAAAGGAGGAGGCTGGCCCCAAGGAATGTATTACCTTTAGAATAATGTAACTAGAGACATTATTAACTTACTTGAGATAGTGAACAGTTCAAGCAGAATTGCTATATGATAAGGCAGAATCATTTGTCTGTGAATCATTGTGAAAAAGAAGGGAGAGTAGTGATTTGCTAATGTGGAAACTGTTCTCATCCAGCTTTTTGTGCTCTATGCGATATTTCTTCTTACATCTTTCTTCACTTAAGCAGGATGGTCAGCTTTCTCCCCCCATTATTTTCAAGAATTTGAATTAGTTACAGAAATGTATTATCAGCCCTTAGGAAACTGAAATGAACTACAGTAAGAAGGAAATGAAAACAGGCTGCGGTTCTTACTCAGGAAAAAACAATTTGAGAAAAAACGTTTACCTTGCAGCTACTGCCTTTAATGTTCATTTCACACATTATGATTCCTGTGATGCAGGAAACCATGTGGTCCATCTTGGGCTGGAAGGCGACTGAATGTGGGATCACTGTTGTCCTTGCTCTGGATTTGTGCTGTTCCTTGTGCTGGGAACACAAAGGAAAGGAAAATCCTTTTCTCAGGGAAAAAGAATCATATTTTTTAACCTGCCAAGCTGTTGCCCATCCTCAGTTTTCTTTGTTGGTTTGAAACATGTTGCTGTTTTCCCTACAGGTAATAGGAAAAGGAAGGGCTTGTGTGGCATGCTGCTATCATATTGTTGTAAAGATGGACCTTATAAGTCGTGTGTGTTGTGGTCTTATCAGAATGCAGGGGTCTTGATATAAACACCACGTTTCTCAAGTTTACCACTGGGAATAGCTTTCTGAGAACATCCTTCATTATTGACATGAGCCATTCTATTAATTCTCATTTTACTGTTTCTTCTTGCATGTTAATATGTGTGCATTTCCATCCTCTCACACAAGTTTTAATATGTATGTTACTAAATATGTTACTGTACAAAAATTCTCATATGTTTTTATTGTAGGTTGTGTATTGAGGAAAATTTCATACATTTCATGCCACACCTTTGAAATAGAGGAGCAGAAGCTGTAGTCTTCCTTTTTCAAATAGTCATTAAATTTACCACTACAGATTTCAGAATTTGTGAAAGTGTAGTCTGTCCTGAGAATGAATTTGGTAAAGGCAGTCAACTAGAGTTTCTGAGACTTCTCTGTGGATGTGACAGTAGAGAGTGTATGCACATGTAGATAAAACTGATTTTCTGTAAAGTAGCGGTTTTTAAATACAAGGAAAGCAAGTATGTTTTAAGTTTAATTAATTCCATATTGAATATATTGCCCTTGTCTTGCATTTGGAGTTTTCCTGGTTATAAGGTGCTACCAGTAAACTGTATATATTAAACCAATAGTTCTTCATAAGAATTGTCTTGATACCTATTTTTTCAGTATAGAAAAATAACCACTTCTACAAATAGTAATCTTAAATCTGCAAGACAGAAGTCCCCAAACATCATTTAGCAATTCTTTTGAGAAATGAATGCTCCAGTGGTCATTTTCTTTCAGATAGTGACAAGTGGTGCACATATAAAGGATGCCCAGATTTTAACACTCTTTGTTCATTTTAGCTCAAAAGTCTCATGTTTTTTGATTCTCCTGATTTTAAAACATAAATTTAAGGATCAGAGGCTGCTCCTAGTCCAATAACACAGGTTATCATGCTTCTATATTGTTATGTGAAATGTTGGGGTTTTTTTCTGTTTCTCAGTTGCTTTTATTTGGTCTCAATGACAACAAAACTGATTTTTGAGGAACCTGATATACCTCAGTGGAAGGAGTCTTTTCTCAGTGCCATTTCATAGAATGCTAATTTGCTAACATTAGAAATAACTTTCAGTCCTCCCAGTTTGTTACTTCTCTCACAAATCCTAGAGTTTAGAATGAAATTGTCTTTTGAAGCAATGAATTCTTGTTGTATTGAAATACTTGTTCTATATTGGTGGAGCCAGGCTTTTGTGCTTTCATGCTGACATAATGGATTTTGAACATGGTTCAAAATGTGAAGTCAAGATACAACTTCTTCATATCTTTGGTGCTTAGAACTTGATTATTAATCAGAAGTATCTCATACTGACAGTCTCTTCTAAAGAAAGGGTTTTGACATAATTTGTGCTATTTCCTTTTCTTCTATATTATTATTGTCATTGTATGTAATGGCAAGAGACAAACATCTTTTGTATTCTATTACTGGCAATGAGTAGGTATATGCATAGGCTCTTTCATTAGCAAAGATTTAAATCTTAGTAGCATAAAGTATTTGTATTAAGACTAGCTGATTTCTGATGTGTCTTTTTGTTTTGTTTCTTTTTTTCTTCCTATAGAAAACTGTTGCATCTCCAACTGTTTCACGCCTTACAGATACTTCAAAATTCACGGGTTCTCACAAAGAGAGGTTTGATGCCAGTGGGAAAGGAAAAGGCAGAGCTGGCCGAGAAGATCTGGTGGATAACTCAGGATATGTATCTGGTTATAAGCATGCAGGCACATACGATCATAAAGTACAAGGAAACAAGTAAGGCTGAGGGTTTACAACACAGAGGGGAATAGAGTATATATTTGTAAGGATGATGTTATGAATCCCACATGTTTCGGTTATTGTGAATGTTGAGACTATGTTGTCAAGAAGTTGTCTTCAGGAACTGGAACTGATTTCAACATCTGCTGAGCTACTTGCAGCACAATGCCACTTCATTACATTCCTCATGCATATATTGGCAAAAATAAATGAATATGTAGGTATAAAAAATACATCATTTTGTTGAGCTTTAGGAAAAAAAAACCCAAACCAACAAACAACAAAGCCAAAGTCAAGAGCAGTTATAGCACACTTCGTCAATTCAAGCAAAATATCTCAAACATTCCTGATGTTCAGTTGCCCTGATGATGTCAAAGAGAACTTCTTGAAAAGAGGATCTTTTGTAGCAGTCTTTCTGAAGAATATCCCATTACTTATGCAGTTTCATTTGACTACTGTTTTAGGGGTTTTTTTTAAATGTCTTACATGGGATCTAGCACTTTTCTTAAAACATTCAACAATATACTATTGGGAAGTAAGTGGTAGTAATATACTAGGTTCTAGCCTGTGCTTATTGTATACCACTCATGTAAAGAAAGCTATTTCTAGGACAATATAGACTCTAAAGTATTTTATGTCAACAGAAAGAGTTGGAAAATACCAGTCCTTACTTTCCTCCTGTCTATACTTTGTGCTTGTTCTTGTGTGTACTGTACCATGGTTCTGACTGGCTGGATTTGGATGGAGCTATTGTACTAACCTGAGAGGTGAGGAACAAGACTAAGAAAGTCTAGTTAAGGATTTTCAGAGTCTGTTTTCAAGTTTGCAGTGCCTCACATTGGAAGTGAAGGGGGAATTAAGCCAATAATGCTTTAAAATACTGTTTATGACTAAACACTGCCAATCAGATTGCTATTAAATGAACGTTATTTTGCACATATGTTGGCACATAGTCCCTTTAAGCTCTAATGTATGTAAGAAAAGCTTATGGCTCCTTGGAGTAAGGACATTTACAATTAATATCAATGTAATTAGGTGCAATTTACCCACAAAAAAACCCCAAACCATTATGACTGGGCTACATTTTATGACAGATTCATTTGAAGTCAAGGGATTTGATTCTCTATTCACTCTTGCTGCCAAACTTGGGAGTAATAGCACTTCTGGGAATGGCTTTCCAATGTTACCAGTCCCACAGGTTTAAGGTACAGGCAGCTGAGTATGACTTAGCTGGGGTCCAGAATGCCAAAAGAAATTAATTGGTATAAAAATAACTCTTTTTTTCATATTGGTTGAAAAGGAGTGAAAAGTCCATTCCAATTTTCTGCAAGAGCTGAACAAGTACCTTAATGTATTACTCTGATTCTCTGAATTAGTTGTGAAAGATAGGATGTTCAGTATTCAAAACCAGCTCTTTGCAGTTCTGCCATGCTTCCTTTCAAAAGGAGCTTGTGCTCTGATTTTCATGTTGAACTCTGACTAAAGGTTAATAGATTTATTGCTCTTCCCCCAGCCATAAAAGCATCCCACTCAGAATACATAAATGTAGGTGAGCAGTGTGTGCTTTCATGTGCCATGCAGGTGAACAGTCTGTATTTGGCCAGTGTATGGAAGGAAAGGAAGCACAGGTTTTCAGCCCTTAAACTGCTCATGTTTTGTTCTGCTGACATTGTGTGATAGCCTGTCTTGTAGCTTTGCCCTCAGTGGCCCTTTGAGCCCATACATCAGCCTAAAACCAAAACAACAATAGCAAACAAAAGACAAGAGCTTCTTTGTGGACTTGGACATCCTTTTGTTTGTTTATAATTTATTTTGATGTTTGTTTTTAAGCGGGATGGAAGTTTGCCAAAACACACCACATGCTCTTGTAAAGATTTAAATAGTTTTTCCCATGGATGGCTTTGGTTACCTTGAAAGATTTTAGATGTATGTAAAGATGCTCAGGATGCAAAGTGTTTAGCTTTGTGAACCCTTTCCAAGAGTTACCCAGTGTTCTTGAAAAGTGAAGGTTACCCAGTTCTGTGTTGCACTGGGGACATGTCACACTCCAGAGCAGGAAATAGGATACTTGATACCAACAGTGGCTAAATGATTCTGGTATGGTAGTAAACTGTCTAAATGTAAAGAACCTTCTTTGTCACTGGTGCCTGTGCACCTGAAGATGGCTCCAGGGTAGTCTTGTTTTTTTTAATGAATAAAAAGGCTGAGCCTACAGCCCTTGATGGATCCTTCAGCTGAGTTACAGGCAAAATCAGTGTCCCTGTTTTTCCTTTTGACTTTAAGACTTGCCTATTAACTCACTGGTAATTGAAAAGTTCTGGACCCAGCCTCACTAAAGGGTGAAGTAGAGCCTACTGCAGAGTCCAAGAGCACACTGTTGACCTGGGTGTTTGTTGCTAGTTATCTGCCTTGTCTGGCACATTAGTGACTCTTTGCTTTTAGGTACACAAAGGACAGGTTTGCATAGGTACCCAAATACAGTGTCTGTAATGCCAGAATGTTTCCATACAGGAGGAGTGATTGGTTAGGAAGATTTAAAGATATAATTATGTTTTAAGTTGTTAGTTCAAAGTGAGAGAGATCAGCACACTCAGAAGGCATGGAAGGGAATTGAGAGTGCGGACAGAAGCAAGTTGACACTGTCTAGAAATTGAGTTACAAGAGGCTGATGTAGCGAGCTGAGGTTCTGCCAGAGTTTACTTTGCATTGTTTGTGCATTATAAAGTCCCTGCCATGAACCAAAGCACTTTATTTGGACCTGATGCAAACTTTGAAATTCTTTCAATGGCAGAGTAAGCTTGGGATCAGAACCTGAGAAGATGGTTCAGATATCAGTATTTTGTTTTGAGGAACACACTTCTTTTTTCTTCTTTGTTTCTACAGTCTGATAGTTTTAAACCTCAAAGCGATACATGAAAATAAATCATTCTGATGTGACAGTTACAAAGGAAAGTTGTTGCTGGGAAGATAGTACTTTGTAAAGGTTTTTTCTTTTACTGTGCTTGGTGTGAAAGATAATGGCTATGAATAAAAGCATCTTAAGCAGCTGTGTATTAGGGGTTCACTACCTACTTAAGCCCTTACTATTCCACTGATATTGGTAGGAAATAAAAAGCCTAAATATTTGCTTGATTATTAGCTCTTAAGTTTCAGGCCTGCTTGGGAATGAGGCAAAGTACATTTTCTTACTCATCTGCTATTCCCTCAACTCTCAGGACAGTAAGTACAGCTTATACCTCAAAGATGACAGGAAGGGATAGGTGAGGAGGTGCCCGATTTTCAACCCTTAGAGTGTTGTAGGGTATATTCTCTTCCAATGCACCATGCTCCAGACTGTAACTACATGTCATGTCTGAAGTAAGGACATGGGAACCTAATTGTTAGGTTCTCTTTTTGGGGGCATCTCAATTCATTCCATCTAAATTTCCAGCCTGATTTTCGGCATCTTCCACTATGTAGCACTGTCTTATGTGACATCTTCTATAAAACCCTATTGTTCCTTGTTATCTTTGCTTTCATTATTACAGTAGATGCTACCAAAATAAATACGATCATAAAGTTCAGATAGCTTTTAGAAATAAAACTGCCTTAAAGAACAAACTCAAATTGTACTTAAGTACTGTGGCAGTACACAATCCTTACCTGTATGTCTACAGAAGCTTAACCTCACCATCAAAACCTTTACAAGACTGAGGACAAGAACTGAAAATCCTTACTGAGGCAAATGAATAGTCATTACAAATAATTTTCTAAAAATAATGTTTTTAAGTAAAATATGCAGCAGTCAAAAGGGATTTTCTTACTAGTGCTTGCTTACTAATTCTGTTTAGTCACTCCATGAGCTTTAGTTGAGAGTTTCACTGGGAGTTTTACAACCATCAGTATGGAAATATCAAAACTAAAAGTGATTGTCCTGCTCTTTGTGGTTATCAAAGCTATCACAATAGCATTACTGAGACTCAGACATTAAAAAACATGCACAGTTTCATGAGTCCTATATGAACAGTGGTAATTAATTGTAATCAAATATTTGGAATCCCAAGGGAAATGTTGAATATTAGGCTACAGCCAAAATTTAGCCCCTATTTTTTTCAGCCTATAATACTTCTTACCTCCTTTTTATTTAGGGAAGGGAAAAGGAGATTTCAAAACTACTCATGTGTCACAGCTTGTGTTTTTTATCAGCATAGAGATTGTCTTTCAAAGATATTTTGAATTGAAGTGTGTATTTTATTGACCTTATGTAAATTTAAAATTCTGACAATTAAATTTAAAAGTCTGAAATTTTTTTAGCATTGTACAAAGCTTTGTTCAGAAATTACCATTTCAGTTATCTGTATTTTCCCTCTATTGGCTCAATTAATTTTTTTTATGGTAGCTGGAATTAGGCAGAAAAAGGCAAATGACTACTATGGATTTGGCTTGCAAGTGATAGGTATCCCAGCCATCTGTAACCATCTGTAGAGAAAATCCTCATGTATATTCCTCCAAAACCAAAACTTCAAAGTTGTAATTGATAGGTTTTTTTCCTTAAGGCTTTTCATAGTTACGAAATGAATTTTAATTCTTTGTGCCTGCATGTATGATAGTCAAAACATAACCCTGCCTTCAGGGATGCATGTATTCTGGGGGCACCTGCCTGTCATCTGTGAATAAGAATTCTCTGCACTGGCCAAGAGCAAACCTTTTACCTTCATGATAGAACAAATATAACATTGCACTGGTATTTGTCCTCTTAACTGACTGTCAGCCTTGCGTGTGTGCCAAAATAACTACACCTTTGTGTATGTTGTAGTGTGAATATTATGTTCTTGGCTTGTCACTTAGTTGGTATTAAGTAATGTAATGCACAAGACTTGTGTAGGTTTGTGTGTGTGTACACATGCTCTTTTGATCCAGCTTAAGTAATTAAAATGTATAAATGCTGATGAAAAAACTAAATCTTATTAGGGACAAGCTCTAGCCCTGCAGCCAGTGCTGTTCAGCTTGGCTGGTTG